CGTGGCCTAATATATCCCTTGAGGCGTATAGATCCACGGAGGGGTAGAAAAGATGTTCTTTCCTTCAGTATGGCTGATTGGCAAAATCGGGTCCAGAGCCCTGCTTCATAAATTTCAGTCGAATCACTTTTCCTTTGTATCATACATTGTTAAAATATATGGGTATTTTAACTTTAGTTGTACAAAACTCAAATTCTTACTCCCATTTACCACAATACCATTAAGTAAAGGCTATGTATGGTTGGAAGTGATGTAAACGCAAACAATCGAAAATTGTCCTTTATTTTTGGAAACGAATGTAAGGACTGCTTTATTAGGCTGATGGTGATTTAATTAAAATGTTGATCACGGAATTCTGGGTTGTGACATCTTGTAGTATTGTAGGTGGCTGGTTACCAATATTTGATAGGGTTGTGTCACCTCCAGAACCTCAAATCATAATTAGAATACTTTGGCACTCACAATGAAGGCAGAATCATCCTTTTGCAACATGAGATTCCTATGTTGTAGCCTTATGTCTAGATATTGGAAATAATGTTCAAATTTAAAACTATCTCAAGCTGGTTAACAACTGTATTACCAGATACCACACTTTGGTGCAGGACATGATTTTATTCTTACTGCAATATTCAGACATTTGCTATCACGTGCATCCTTGGATCTCATCTCACAGAACTAGATATGCACAAACATGAATCTGTCTTCCCAGTAAATGTTAATTTCTTACAGTATTTCATTTTACAATGTTGGGATGACACCACACCCATATCATCACTGTCTATCACCTTATTTTATAAATGAATTTGGATGGGGTGCTTTCAGATGTTTAATTTTGTAACTAATTATGTATGTTAGAATGGTACTAGTAAGCAATAACTAAGAATTTGTACCTACTCCCACATATCAAGGCTTTCCAACAGTGGTTAGAAAATATTAGGTTTTGATAGAAAAAATAAAAGTTAAACATTCATAAACTGTAAAATCATAATACAAGTACATGTAGGAGTGTTGTTATAAATACAGTTGAGCTTTACTGTGCTTGTCGTGATATTTTTCATTCCAAATGCAATTTTATTCCCTTGTGTAAAGTATATAAACATCTGTGGAATGCAGATGAGAAATCATAACAATAGTTTGCTGGCATGTTACTAACTTATGTCATTGAATTACGAAGCTGGCAATTTTCATCTTGTCAGCTACAAACTGAACAGTGCTGTATCTAACAATATTGGTCAACAAAGAGTTGGCTTATTACCCTCAGTTGAGCTGTGTATATACACAGGCATAGCAAAACACTGTAAGGATGTGGTGATGAAATAAAAGTGTCGGGGGTTATTGTGGGAGTTGACATCTTATGACATTAATAAATCAGAGTGTAACAGCTATAACTGGCTGTGCCTAGGATGATGAAAACAGCATAGTCTGTCTTTAAGTCACAAGGATGTGGGTTGTGAATATTATAATTTGGAAGCTTACATGTCATATTTATAATATTTAAAACAGTTCACTGGCTTCCCTTGACTGGCATGGGCAACTATGTGAATTTAATTGTAGCCAAAGTGCAGTATTTTAGTATAAATTAGAAACTGTGACTTGGAAGTATGCATAGTAATTTTAACATTTTTTAAAACTACAGCTTTCAAATTTGTCAGCAACCAAGACTTGGCATTTAGAAGTACAGTACATTTCAGCCAACAGTTTCCAGCATTATTCCTGCCTCTTTTCAGACTGAAGCACTGTGTGGTAACAGGGTTCTCTCACATAAGGAAATCTAATTGGAGGTTATGTCCATGCTCAAAAAATATTTTCAGTAAACCATTTTATGTTCCTGGTACCACCTTCTCTGTGTGGTTCATGTTCCACTACTTCCAGCGGTTTCCTCAGCTTGGTAACTGGACCATCCACCATATTTGCCAGATTTGGCCCTGTGCGAGTTTTGGTTATTCCTGAAACAGAAGACTGCTTTGTAGGGCCACAGATTAGCATCAGACACTGCCAATATACAAGGACATGTGATGACCATCCTTAACAGTATTCCAGAACAGGAATTCCAGAAATGTTTCAGGCAGTAGAAACACCAACTAAGTGTACTGGTAGCACAGTAGCAGCATGTTTCCATTGTGAATTTGAACTTCATAGCACTTTTATCTTACATGGCAAGTCACAAACAAATAATCTAATAAACTGAAAAGGGTTAATCCTAAAAATGCAAAGTATAGAATGAATTTTTGTCAATTTAAAAAATACCGAGGCAACAAATTAACAAATAAAAGCAGCACAAGCTGGTGAGAAGACAAAACATGGCTGAACAATATCTCACAGCATCACCATACTTTATGAACTGTTGTTGAAAGTGCATTTCTGCACATCTGAGACTAATGTACATAGCACATGATGGAGTTGAAATATGTATATTATATCTTTCAAGCTAAAATGTACCTAAACAATGACTGTATAGTAATTTGTATAATTTACAAACCAAATTTGATAAAGACATCATTAAACTGAAGTCAATAAATTAGTGTCCAACAATATTATAGTTTTTCTCCTTTTTCAACTAAAGTGAGCATGAATGCAGTGATTATACCATGTTGTGTACTACAGAAAACTGTACTTTAATGCTACTTAAAATCTGGAATTAAAAGCACACTGAATTTCACAAGTTGTTTAAATAGTTCAAAATTCAAAGCCTGCATAACCCTAAATTCAAGTGCTCTTATTAACAAGTTCTTTGAATTATGAGAAAATACTGTATTACCATCGTTCAATATACTATATTCATTCAAATAACATAATCTTCAAGAAAGATCTGAGCCCTACTTGGGAAAGCACAAACTAAAACAAAACTATTCTCATTAAAACCATTAATTTTTCAATGTTGTTGTTCTGGGTTGGGATGTGGTGTGATCTTGTAGGTGGATACCAATGATTTGAAGAAACATATGACCTCCACCTTCAGGGCTAAAAATGGAGACTGTTTTTTCATAATGCTGGTATCTATCTATAAGTCTGCACAGCATTACAATTGAAAACAGCATTGAAATCTTCACCACATCAGAATCCCACACTTAATTTGCCCATGACCTCACTGTATACATTTGATATTGGTATCTTCATCAGGACCATCATGTTTCAATGTATAAGATTTGAGGCTCTTAAAAGTTGTTGATTGTGGTCTTCTGAGTTGTGACACTGTGCAATCTTTTAGGTTGTTACCAACATTTCAGCGGAATATATGCTTCTATCTTCAGGACTGAAATGGTTTTCTGGATTAAATCATTACTATTATTCAAGCTTAGCTGACACACATGGTACTCTTTTTACATGAATCACCATACTTTATAACAAGAATAAAAGGTTGTGAACACTATGTAGAACACTTGCTCAAAAAAACCTTGTAAAATTCGGCTTGAAATTCCAAAAATGCAACTTTATTGCTCCAGCACATTGTTACTAATTTTCAACTACCAACACATACATTCCACTTAACATTACTGTAGGTTTCTAGGAAAGGCCACTTTTTAGCACTAAGTCACATTACAGACTGTATGAACATCACCAGTATACCATTTACATGGCACATTTCAAAGACAAAGCAACCATACTTATATCATTGTTAGTTGTCCACCGATTGCATAATGTGCTGAAATATAATGAAATACACATTCATTCCAAGAAAGTAAGCAAGCAAGTGTTGCTTTCTGGCCTATGGTTCAGGCACCATTTCTTTTGTCATTTCAATTCTCATCTTGTGGTACTTTTCAGGATCTGAAAATCCAGGCAAATATTCCATAAAACAACTTGCAACAATGTTCATAAGGCTTGGATTGTCTGTTAAATTCCAGCTGTTGATGTAACCCAGATATAAGAAAGCAATCCCACACCTACACTTATTTTCAAATCATAAACTTCAGGAAGCCCAACATGCTTTTTCCATCAGTTGCTGTAGAAAGATTAAGTTTTTGGGACCAATATGTTTGCTCTATTTCTTTCTCTTAAAATCTCTTCACTGAAAAAGGAACAGGGCTAATCTTACGACCTGCACTTGTCAGACTTCTGACTGGTCCAAAAGATGATTCATTTTAAGGGATCAAACATACATCAATCAAGAACCAATGGAAAAACCACACCATTACAGAAGAACTTCTCAAATGTGTCCATGGTAAGTGTACATTAGTGGCAAACATGTATATGAAAGGTAGAAACTATTTTGAAATGTAAACAAGGTGTGAGCACTCTGTTTTCAACTTCCTTAATGCACATCACAATTTCTATTGCATGTGAAAGTGACAGCTGATATTAAATGTTATATCACGCTATAATATGAAGCCACATTGTCATGACCAATGTAAAATGCTGTTACAACAAACAGTAAACCTCACAATCTGTACATCAAAATGAGCAATCAGTAATATGAAAATATGTGAAAATGTGCATCACATTTATTTGCATTAATAGAAGGAATTATTTAAAAATTTTGATCTATTTAAATAACAGATTTATCTTGGCTATGACAACCTAACCTCTACAAAATGTTGGGCACATTATAGATAATAGATTCACTGTCTAGAAGTACAAGCAGTACTCTTACTTCCCACTGTCCACATCACTGTCATCCTGTTATCACTCACTCACATGTGCATGCTCTCTCTCTCTCCTTCTTTTCCTACACAAATCATGAAACTAATTATTTTGTATGTAAGAAATTCAAAGCTCTCCTGGTAATGTAATATAATTTATAACATCTTACTGTACAACTATAGATCACATATGAAAGTAGTACATATCAAATGCTAGCTATACTTGCATTCACAATACTCCATCTGATGTGCATAATGTAGACAATGCAGCAAAAGTTGAGTGTAAAAAATTAATGACATTCAGCATTACTAATTATTCAGAACATTAAAATTTACTTTCTTGACATCAAATGTAAATTACCCAAAATTAAACATATAGTTTCTCATGTTACAATTACTATTAAACTGAATTCCTGTAACACAGAAATTATCATAAAATCATCATGGAAATGAGCAGGGAGCACACTATTTTAATAAATTTTAATTTATAACTAATTTGACATATTGATGTTTTAATTCACTATGTAAACAAATTGCTCACCACAACTGTAACTTAAACTTATTAGGTTTGAGATCATAATGCACTGGTTACCAACTATAACGATCAATGCTACTTTATTAAATACATATAATAACAGTTAAAACACAACAACCAAATTTATGAACTTTTACCCTAAGGCTATTAATGAAACTAAATTTAACATAATAAACAGCACACATCTCCCAAGAATAAAAATTATGCAAACTGAAAGTAGGTCTTGAGCATTGTAAGACTTTCCTTTGCAATCAGGGCAATTAAAAACCTTTGTCATACGTAGGTATTTAGATGGAACACAAACAAATAATTCTCATGAAGATGTAGAAGAAAAGACAAGATTATTTGAAATAAATACAACGATATATAGCTTTGTACACAACTACCATTTATGATGGCTATGAAACATAATCCTACATTATCAACACCTTAGTCTATTTTCAGTGAGTCTACTGCTGCAAGGTAAGAACTGCTGAAAAATGTACGTATTATAAGTGCTCAAACAATCAACCATACTTCTGCAGTCCCATCAACAAACAAATTAAATGTACAGGAAATTAAAGTGAAATAAATGTAATGCAATTCCTGTGCTGGAAATGTTGACTGGAAACATCTTACTCCATGATACCATTTTCACTACTCGCAACTTCTCACTTATGATGAACACGATGAACCTGAACCTTGCATGGATGAATGAAACTTTCACCTGAAACATACAACCAGGAATAATGGATTACTGTATGATGTCGATTGCATCAGTTAAAGACAAAAGAAAAAGAAAACTTATCATAAACAATGCTTTAACCGTAAGATTTGAGGTTTTCACAACAGTGAGTATGAAGATTTCTGTCTTCTGGGTTGTTGCGCTGTGTAGTCTGGTCGATGTTAACCAAAGTTTCAGAGGTCATACTGCCTCCGTCATCAGGGCGCCCTGATGACGAAGGCTGTATGACCTCTGAAACGTTGGTTAACATCGACCAGACTACACAGCGGTATACCCTATATGATTCTTAGTTACTGTAATTAATGCCTTTGTACTTTACTCAGTTATTATGTTGTGTTCTGCGTGCTATTAACAGTGACTAGTTTGCTTTTGTCATTTGGATAAAACATCAGATACAACTGTAGATAAAAACTGTTGTATTTGCATTTTTAACACTATTAAAACTTTCCACAGATTTAGCCGTGTGTCAGACATTTTAAACTTTTCATATAGTTGAATTTTATATTACATACATACAAATAAATTTTAATCTGTTCATCTCTTACTAGAACCGTGTCCTGCGAGAGTTCTCACCATTGAGTCAGCATCTTACTAGTCATCTAAATCAGATGTTAAACTCTGCATATCGCAAGTTTGCTACCTGGCAACAAAGGAAGATGCAAACACTCAGGTAGCAGCACAGCTCTTGTGAGTGTCTATGAAGAAATGTAATTGTCTTTTATCATAATCATTTAAATACCACTTTAAGGTACAGTGAAACCCTAATTTATGGTTTCCTTGGGGAAGAAGCATTTTGTACCTTCAGTTGAGAAAAACCTTATATGGTGGTTGTATTAAAAGGAAACAGGAAATTATTCCTTAGGTTATAAAAACACTTGTAAAATATAATGTTTGCATGATATGACTTCATGTTAGAACAAATAAAGTACAACTGTAACAAGAAAAAGTGTACAGTACATACATGGCAGGTGTATTATTTCTTTAAATAATCCAAAACTGATTGCTGCTTTGTTGGGCATGTCCAATGAAGGAAGAACAACCTATTTTCCAGTTGGTGCAGTCATGCTAGGCCAGCATCATCAAGTTTAAAAGAACACATGTAGCTTCAGACATGCTTCATGAAATGCAAATTATTGAACTATGTCTGAAGAAATGAAAATGAATCATTGAATAGAAGATGGGTGTGCTGGCATGAAACAATTCAGAAAACTCACATCAATTAGTACAATTAAAAGAATGTGATTTGACATTTACTGCAGTCATTTTTACTAATCTCTGATTTAGAATATTCATGACAAAATGAAAGGAGTAGCTGTAACGGATATAATTTAGAATGTTCTCCATAGTGCTGAATTTTGCAAATGGTCCCATTTTTGTGCTACACGATCTGCTACTTGCAACTTGGCTTGATAAAAATGTATTTATGAGGTTATTATTCTTGGAAGTGCTTTGCAAAGATGATGTCAAGAAGTATTTAGTTTTGTGTTCACTGAGACTGGCCACCACAAGTATATATAATGTAATATAATATATAATATTGCCAAATCTAGTTATTAGTACCAGTGCCTTGCTATTGTATGGGGACACCTGAAACATTAGTACTGCACTAGAATATTTTCAAAAAAGAAGCTGAAATATATGAAAATGTTATCATATAAACTATCTAAGATGCTTGTATAGAGACTGGCTATTTTAAAACTGTACATGGATAAATTGATTAAATCCTTACTTTCTTTATTCTGAAACTTGTAGTTTAATGTGGTAAATACAATTTATCTTCTAATCCACATTATTGTTGACACTGTGTATTTGGGAATTAATCCAGTTTTCCCTTTAAGTCTAGTTATTTCTGTGTTGATTTCAGTCCTGTACTTACGATGTTAATTGGTTAAAGCATTGAAGATTTCTGTCTTCTGGGTTGTTCCGCTGTGTAGTCTGGTCGATGTTAACCAAAGTTTCAGAGGTCATACTGCCTCCGTCATCAGGGCGCCCTGATGACGAAGGCTGTATGACCTCTGAAACGTTGGTTAACATCGACCAGACTACACAGCGGAACAACCCAGAAGACAGAAATCTTCAATGCTTTAACCAATTAACATCGTAAGTACAGGACTGAAATCAACACAGAAATAACTAGACTTAAAGGGAAAACTGGATTAATTCCCAAATACACAGTGTCAACAATAATGTGGATTAGAAGATAAATTGTATTTACCACATTAAACTACAAGTTTCAGAATAAAGAAAGTAAGGATTTAATCAATTTATCCATGTACAGTTTTAAAATAGCCAGTCTCTATACAAGCATCTTAGATAGTTTATATGATAACATTTTCATATATTTCAGCTTCTTTTTTGAAAATATTCTAGTGCAGTACTAATGTTTCAGGTGTCCCCATACAATAGCAAGGCACTGGTACTAATAACTAGATTTGGCAATATTATATATTATATTACATTATATATACTTGTGGTGGCCAGTCTCAGTGAACACAAAACTAAATACTTCTTGACATCATCTTTGCAAAGCACTTCCAAGAATAATAACCTCATAAATACATTTTTATCAAGCCAAGTTGCAAGTAGCAGATCGTGTAGCACAAAAATGGGACCATTTGCAAAATTCAGCACTATGGAGAACATTCTAAATTATATCCGTTACAGCTACTCCTTTCATTTTGTCATGAATATTCTAAATCAGAGATTAGTAAAAATGACTGCAGTAAATGTCAAATCACATTCTTTTAATTGTACTAATTGATGTGAGTTTTCTGAATTGTTTCATGCCAGCACACCCATCTTCTATTCAATGATTCATTTTCATTTCTTCAGACATAGTTCAATAATTTGCATTTCATGAAGCATGTCTGAAGCTACATGTGTTCTTTTAAACTTGATGATGCTGGCCTAGCATGACTGCACCAACTGGAAAATAGGTTGTTCTTCCTTCATTGGACATGCCCAACAAAGCAGCAATCAGTTTTGGATTATTTAAAGAAATAATACACCTGCCATGTATGTACTGTACACTTTTTCTTGTTACAGTTGTACTTTATTTGTTCTAACATGAAGTCATATCATGCAAACATTATATTTTACAAGTGTTTTTATAACCTAAGGAATAATTTCCTGTTTCCTTTTAATACAACCACCATATAAGGTTTTTCTCAACTGAAGGTACAAAATGCTTCTTCCCCAAGGAAACCATAAATTAGGGTTTCACTGTACCTTAAAGTGGTATTTAAATGATTATGATAAAAGACAATTACATTTCTTCATAGACACTCACAAGAGCTGTGCTGCTACCTGAGTGTTTGCATCTTCCTTTGTTGCCAGGTAGCAAACTTGCGATATGCAGAGTTTAACATCTGATTTAGATGACTAGTAAGATGCTGACTCAATGGTGAGAACTCTCGCAGGACACGGTTCTAGTAAGAGATGAACAGATTAAAATTTATTTGTATGTATGTAATATAAAATTCAACTATATGAAAAGTTTAAAATGTCTGACACACGGCTAAATCTGTGGAAAGTTTTAATAGTGTTAAAAATGCAAATACAACAGTTTTTATCTACAGTTGTATCTGATGTTTTATCCAAATGACAAAAGCAAACTAGTCACTGTTAATAGCACGCAGAACACAACATAATAACTGAGTAAAGTACAAAGGCATTAATTACAGTAACTAAGAATCATATAGGGTATACTAGTCTGATGACAATGATCTTCAATGAAAATTGTATAAAACTATTACTATTAACTTGTAATTATAATGCAATCAATATGCGTGTAATTCTGAATGTCAATTAAAATATAAGCTTCTGTCATGCCAACTCCTTACAGGCCAGTGACACTACAACGAATTAAAACCTCTGGTTTTATTTAACATGATGAAACAAAACAGAAGTTTATCATTCAGAAAACTGACAAAAAATAATTAAGATGAGAGGACAGGGCATATGAAGTTCCCTACTCTAGTGGCATCATACCTCAAAAGGTTTCAGCCTTGCTGAGTGGAATCGATGAAGGGCCTCATGCATACGGACTGCTTTTGCTTCTAGAGTTGGTGTTGTAGGAGGAAAACTAGTCCAGAAGTGGCGAAACAGTTCGCAAAGTGACATGTACAAATTCTTCAGCTCACGTTCTAAATCTGCTGGAACCAATTCTGAAAACCATATAATATCATTATACTTGTAACGCATACATTAAAAACAATGTTGACCTCACATCTAAAATCAGATAAACTGTTTTGTACATATGGCATAAAATTAATTCACATTTAAAACAGAGAAAATATAACAGAAGCCATCAGCATATCAACTCTCTATTCTTATGTTTAAAATACCTTTGTAATTGTCATACCTTGTTAGTCAATTTCAAGATCTGGAAATTAAAATTATGTAAATCAGTTAAAACTACTGCCAAGTTTGGAATTATGTTCCTTTGATACACTAAGACAGAACAGACTGTTACAGCACATGCTGGGGGGGGGGATGAAATAGGCACAAGCCATGTCTGCACAATGTGACTGAGTACTAAGACAAACAGTGAAAGAATAAAAGAGATTTTTATTTCATTTTCACATTCTAAAAGAAATCAATGCATTGTACAACTGTCATCAGATCAGGGGTGACACAACCTGAATGTGTGGACAAATGCAGGTTATACATTGGGAAGCTGAGGTGGAAGAACAGAGGAATGAAATGGTATGTCTAATTTTTCAGAGAGAATCCAATGCTTCCATAATGCATGTATCACCTACAAACCAACAGACATCCAATAAACCACTTAACTTACAGGTTGGACTTTAAAAAGCTCTCATATTAACATAGAGTAATTTACTCTCTCCTGAAAGAGGATTTCAACAAGAGGAAGAAACAAGTAGAGCCTGTGTTTTCCTACAGTTGGACAGGCTGTGAAGTCAGTCCTGTATATTATTAAGCTCCAATATTTATTGCACATAACAGGACTTCTAACACTGTATTATGAGCACAACAGGCACAAAACAGAGTTATTGAGAAGCTAAAAGTCACACAGCTAGCTATGAAATTCACCATCCATTATGGAACCCCAAGCTTCATTACCATTTTCATAAAATACCACCAATGGTCCCTAATCTAAGAAAGATGAATAGAGTTCTCACCCTCTCATTCACACAGTGGCTTAAACAGTGCCCTCTTCCTTCCACATTTTTTTCAGCAACCCTATGCATGCTTCTAAATTATACTGTTATATTCTAGAAATGGTGAAGTCATTCTATAAGAAGAAACATATTGCTTCCCTCCTAATGGCATAACACACTTTGTGCATCAGTGTCTGTAAATTACCCATGTATAGCTGCTCAGTGTAAACTAAAGATGGCTGTCTTCTGGGCTGTTGCACCGTGTAGTCTGGTAGAAGTTTACTGATGCTTCAGAGCTCCTTGCTGTCTCCATCATCAGGGCAATCACTTGATGATGGAGGCAGCAAGGACCTCTGAAGAGCCAGTGAACTTCTACCAGACTACACAGAACAACCCAGAAACCAGCCATCTTCAAACTTACTGCCATGAAATCCTCAAATCCTACAACATTGTAAACTGCTTTCCTGTTCTCCCAATGGTCATTACATAAAAATATAATATTTCTGTCTCTTATGATACATAGAAGAATGTATAATACAATATAGTTCTTTACTACAAGACTTTTCTTCTGTCTTCAACTAATATTTTCAATACTTATATCAATAGCAACAGTGTACTTAACTGATTAATTTCTATTAACCCTTCAACATGGGAATTTAAATTCCGCGCTGCTTGACGAGGAGTGGTGGCCATTTAAATTTTGCTCTAAAACACTTTATTTATCATAACGTTTGAACTATATAACATATAATGATCAATTCTTCACTGAAATCCTCTTAAAAGATGGTTTTATAATTTCAGCGTATAATATGAACATCCTGTGTGTGACAAATGCTAGTAGTCGATTAGACGTTGAGAGTTGTATGTTTTTTATTGAAACGTCAGCAAAAGTCAACTCTACCAAAATACATAGTTTTTATCTTTTTCTAGCGGTTCCTGCACATGACGCAATGTCTTTGAGGCATTGAATTTCTTTCCTGTGTCAATAATACGCGGGAGTAAATATGTCTGCGCCAGCTGATATTCTGACAGCGAACTGAAGGCCACATATATGCATCATACTTAGCAGTTATAACCGTCTCTTTCTAAGCACTCTTCTGATTATAGACTTCTGAGTATAGGGGTGCTAAAATTGTTGATATTTGAAGACACAGATAAACATAACGGTATATCTATATATATATATTATGGAGCCCCTTGACCGTTTCAGATAATTTTTTTTCCTCTCTACTTCGCTGGAGCAGTTATCGTGTCATATGAGACTGAGAGAATGAGTTATCTTACCTCTACAAACAAACAGCTCAGTGTTCTTTGGAAGATTGTGTAACCTCTTAGGTCACGCATTTATTCACAGACTAGCCTTTAGAGATCGAAGAATGCGACGTTGCCAATACATGATCAGAAAGAGCATTTCTTCCACACCAGATCAACTACAAACATCATATATCAGTCGTTATTGTTTCCATAATTATGGGCTTTTGAAATTAGGCTTAACAGCAGACCGGGAATTTAAATGCCAGGGCGTCACAAGACGTCCAACCACGGTGAAGGGTTAAGCACAAAGTATGCAGACTCAAAATAATGTTATGATTATTAGTAATATTAAACTCAGAATGATGTAAAAGGATGTACTGCATTAATTAAAATGAGGGAGGAACAATTTCTGACACAGATGAGATGGTGTCATATCATTTGGATTCAACTAAAGTACATTACATTCAGAAGGTGGTACATATCTATATCTCATCACCAAAATGGAGGACAACATAGGACAGCTAATAAATCCTTTAAAAAATATGACAACAGTAACAACAGCAACAAATACAAATTATTCATAAGAAATTAAGAGCAGATTAAATTCAATTTACCACCATGCAGTTCAGAACCTGTCTTCCCACCTCATTTAAAAATGCAAAAATTAAAATACACAAAACTATAATTATTCCTCCTGTTTTATATGGGTGTGAAACTTGGTCTCTTACATCACAGGATTAGGGGTGTTGTGGAGAGTATTTGGACCTGAGAGACAGGAAGTAATAGGATGGAGAAAACTGCATAATGAGCAACTTTGTAATTTGTACTCCTCTACAAACATTATCAGGACGATAAAATGAAGGCAATGAAATGAAAGACACATGTTATATGCATGGGTGAGAGATGAGACATGCACATTAACAACTTTAAAAAACAACTAACATCTGAAAACGGACAACACAGACTTGAAAACCTTGATACCACAAAACCTTTTATAAAGAGTAATTTACATAATGCAAACGAGCATAAAAATCAGTTTGTAATATTTTTACTCTAAAACTCACGAGCCAACGATTCCTCTTCAAAACCTTTCATGAGTGCTCCACCTGGTGTGAGCTCTCCAAGAGCACTCACAGCAGCCGCTGGATTCACTAATGTGGACGCTTGAAGGCGAGCGACTGAGCACCAGCCCTCTGCTTCACGCTGAAGTCGTGTTGAAACAGTGAACACATCATCACTCAACACATCCTCTGAAAAGGAAAAAGTTTTTAGTAAGAGCAAAATGTAAAAACTTTAAATATTTTCTGATAAGTGAGAGAAAGTTATCTGAGCACTTGTAATTTCTATCCTTTCCACCAAACTTCATAGCCAAATGATTATCACTCCTGCTTTATAACCTGGAGGTCCTAGATTAAAAACTTGGCCTGGAGACAGGGAATCCTGACAGAGATACATTGTGGTTTTCTTCAGTCCCTCTAGACAAATGCTGGGATTGTACCTTAAACATCCCAGAACTGCTCCCTTCCCTTTTCATTATTCATTGGTCACTATACAGTTGAAGCCAATGACAGCAACAAATGTTCTTTTCTTTAAGAAAAGAAATTTCATTACAGCTCAAAACAAATGGTACAATTAGTCTTCTATTATTTATTTACATACACATTTACAACTTCAATGTACATCAGAGTCTAATTACATGCTTATATGTTTAGTTTTATTTTAATTACTGTATTTATTTTATTTATATTTACTTCTACAAAGTTGAATTTAAATTTCTAGAGTAATTCCTTTGTTACCACTGAAAAATAAACACAATAAATCTACGAAGACATTAATTCAACTGCTGTGGAATTAAATAAAGTATGTAGCAGGGCACTGCATTCAAAAAACATATGCATACTCTGCAGTAGAATAAAAAGAACTGTCAAAGCAATAAAAAAATCTATGTCAATACAGAGAAGAAAAAACAGACTAGTTCTTAAAACTGTGTATCAGTTACACTGGAGGTAAGGACATGTTTCTATAGTGTTCCAACAGTTTTAGATTGTGTTGATGGGTGTAAGGCTTTGCTGAGTGATAACTCACAAATTCATGGCAAAATGAGTAATGAAGTGCAAAGTGGAAAGAGAAGAGCCTGATGAAATATGAGTAAAAATGCAGTTTATGGAAATGATTACTGTAGTGTTGTTCAAACTGAAAGCTGCTGACAGTTCTTTGCAGCACAGAAATTAGGACATTCAAAAATATTTATGAAATGTTGGATAAACCAAGAATTTATAAGACTTGGAAGCAAAGAAATAATCCACAGCAAATCTTACACGAGGATATGTTTGTTCCTACAAGACCCCCACTGCTCAGAACATAAACTACATGTCAATGAAGGTGCTCGACCATCCGCCATATGGCCTGGACATGTCACTGTATGACTTTCAACTATTTGGACCCTCCACGACTACACAACTCTACAGAATTGTAGAATCGGTCTGACAAGGATGTAAATGCCACAATGATGCAATGGTTCCAGCAACAGTACAAGCATTCTTTCCAGAAGGAACCCATCAAGAATAAAAATGGCTGTCTCCTGGATTGTAGCATCATGTACTCTGGTAGAATTTATTGATGTTTCAGAGATACTTGCTGCTTCAATCAACAAGGACCAGACTAGGGTATGGCCATCTTGAGACTATTTCTAATCACCCCTACACTGTCACCCAGAATAATCCCCAAGTGGATTTTATTTTAACAAACCTCACTAAGTCCCACACTTTCAACAAACGGAGAATCAGAAACAGCACTAAGCTATAGTAATTATAAGTCACACAAATATTGAAATGGTCACAGGAAAAATTCAAGAAAAGCAATCTGCACTTCATTTACTAGTGCCATACCCACCAGAGGAACCAGGCATGGGTCCATGAAGATAACGCTCCACTCTGGACAAACTGAGTTGTGTCCCTACATTCTGCATCTTGCTATCTGATTCCAAATCATCATAAACAAGTTTCTCTTGAATTCGGAGCTAGAAAGCATAAAATTACACAAAATAAGCAAACTTCCTCCATGTTAAACAAGTAAATTACTTTATTCCAACACGGTTCAGTATGGTTAAAAGATATCACTTTCCTTTACATGTTTACAAGCACCCCGTCTGCAAGTTGGAATGATGCACATTATGCTATGAAGCTGAGAGGTCCAACAAGAAACCTGGAAACAGCACTTAATGGGGCAATAATAAAGCTGAAAGACTCCCAACAATACTACACACAATGGAAATGAAGTGTTGTTTTCTGTGTCTTCTACTGCAGTCTACATTGCAACCTGATTAACAGCTGTGATGGAATGGTTCCAGATTACAGTCCTGTCACATTACAGAAGAACATATAACTCTTATTCTGATAAAACTGATGTTTAAACAATCTGCTCAGGGAGGTGGCTCAACATAAAATAAATTATGTTACAATAGAGCAGGTATTGAGAAAACTCATTGGCTGATGCTCCTCCACTTGCGGTAAATGTTTTTTTATTTTGTTATTTTTTATTGTGTATTGTGTTGCCCGGCTTGCCAGTAAATGAGTGTTGAATAATTTTTCAGATTCTGCTTTGTGTTAAGTTAAGTGAACCCCAATTATGGAAATTAAATGGAAGGGGTCAGATTTGAACACATAGTTGAAGTAATTCACCTCTGAAATCAGGACCTTGTCAAAAGAGCAATATAGCAAGAAAACATGGACTGCTTACTTTGACAAAGACAATATACAATCAACTGTTGTATGTGATAGAAGACCAGTCTATTCTGATTATGCCATTACAACCAGCCCAAATATGCACATATGTACAGTTCAGATTTGGTTCAACTAAGTACTTCATATATTGAATTTTTCAAGTCCCATACATGTTGACACATTGTCTCATACATGTATGCAAAGAAATGAATTATGGACAGAATGTGAGTGCACAGCAAATTATTGAATGTGGGTAGGACTTAAAAGTGTGCAGCATACAGAGGGCCAAATGCAATAAATAATCAGTCAGGCTATTATGTATATGAACAAATCATCTTGGTTCAGATAATGCTAAAAGATATTATGACTAGAATGTTTCATTACTATCACATCCACGACGACCACTTCCAAGAGCAAAACTGGTCAAACAGCATTACTTTTTGTATCATAAATGAAGTTTGGAGACAGACCTGAAGACTGTATTTCAACAGGTTTCTGGCATTATGAGTACCAATCAGAATTAACATTTTTAAAATTTTATAAATTCTTGTTATATCAAGATTGTACTTTACCTCTGACATCTGTCCTTTTGTTATTCCTGTAATTCAAATACTTAGCATACATGAAACATTAGAAAATTCCAAGCATACAATAACAAATATAATGCAAATTCTTGCGATCTGTTGCCAAATTATGATTTACCTTCTTAGCAGTACGCAGGTAATCACTGCAATCAGGGTTTCTTTCACTTGACTGGCTTGGTTGTTTCATGGGTAGTACTGATGAGTCCAGCGGCTCTGAACCAGAGTGGCATGTTGTATTCTGTTGACATGCCTTCAGAACCATGATGGAATGTTGGTTAAACCTAAACAAACCAAACCGAATACTATCTTACTACCAGTGGGTTTTAATAAAATACAAATTCACATGGTAATACAAAAAATTATAACTGCCATTAGAATATTTTCCAACTATTTAATCTGAGAGACATTTTGCCACAGGTACATAGTTCAATACAACTTCCATGTAAAAATCGTGATAATTTAAAATTTTCAACCGTGTTATATGTGAGACATATAGGTTATGGTGTCTGAGTCAATGTTAAATCTAATTTCCCTAATCTGAACATTGCAAACTCTAGTTTGCTACTCTAATACTACTACAAACTACTTTAAATAAATAGTTCAAAGGACTTCAATACTACAAAAATTACAGTCCATACATATCAGCTACTGTGGACCATGTCAGTAACTCTGGCTAGAACAGTACCGGCAGATCACTAACACTGGAGAAATATACAATAGAAACATTTTTTTCTCCCCCATTCAATAAGTTTGCTTGGACCCTGATTTACAAGTTATGCAGCTTCTTGCCAATGTTTAATAACCTTCATATGCCAAGGAAGTGAATATTTCTACCATTCAACCAGAGGTGCCAATCTGTGCTTTCATATATGCATCAGAGTGAATAAGGACAAACAACAACTCTCTTGAACAAAGTATGGTTATGCAATCTTCAGCACACTGTACCTCAACTGAGTTGGTATGTATGTTCCATATCTTGTATTTTTCCTTTATGCAAGATTATTGTTAAGATTTCTGTCTTCTGGGTTGTTGTGCTGTGTGATTAACATCGACCAGACTACACAGCGTAACAACCCAGAAGACAGAAATCTTCATACTCGCCGCTGTGAAAACCTCAAATCTTATAAGATTATTGTTATGTTGTTAAATTAAGCAGAATATGAGGTTCTCAATGCGGTGCATATGAAGATGGCTGTCTTCTGTGTTGTAGTGCCCAGTAGTATGGTAGAAGTTTACCAATTTATCAGAAGCAACAAGGACCCCTAAAACACTGGTAAACTTCTACACTATGAATTTTTAGGTTTGACTATATGATTTTTACCTGTGATTAAGAGCTTCCAAAAATATGAGAAAACTATTTTGCTGGTCATGCCTGTTATTCTAAAAAAGTGACGCATCGAGTTTGAGGTGATCCGACAACCGCAACAACTTCTACACTTCACAAAAAAAAAGTCTTATGCTGCTCATTTGCAGAGAATATTGGACCTGCCACATTTTGGCCACCAAATGATTAATGAGGCTCTTGACAGAACCCAGGAGGACACCATCAGCCTCACCAACATGAAAAACTCAAATCTTACAAATGGTTATGTTGTGATGTTTCCACCTGTTGAAAGTACTGTGAAATTAAATACCTACACAATGTCAACAGTAGCACTATTATTATTATTATTATTATCATCATCATCATCATCAAAGTGGTGTGACTGTTGGGAAAATTCAATAATATTGCATCTCCACATCACCAGACTGCTAGAACAGAATTTGCCACTAATTTAAGGTGGATGTACAATCTTCCTCTGCATACCGTTTAATCATACTCTGATGCACAATGTTTCCACTCTGTACTCCAACTGGCCTGTCTCCTCCAGTTCCATACCCTTCATCCAAAGTTTTATCTTCAAATGAAGTGATGTCAACCAATGGATCCTCAATTCCAGCAGAAATGTCCCTCTTCAATTCTGAGAAAAATATATACTGTTACTTTCAAAAGTACTTGGTTTTATCATGAACATTATGAACAAATCATAAACTAACAATACAGTTATCATACAAATTTTGGAATTTAATTTTTACACATTCAAATATTCATATATTTTGTAATTACTTTGAGTTCTTTCACAAATCACCACAGCCAAGACATTATCACATGAGCTTTATAACTGGCCACAAAACCTGCATACTCTAAGCTACTGACAGCATTGTTAAATAAACAATAACTAAATAAATATATATTACCAAGATTTCAACATAATTTATACACAACTCTGTTCACATTTTTCATTAAATGAAATCAAGCAAACAGGAGTACCTACAGAGGTATATGACCACTCATTCAAAATCCAACACTTGTTTTGTAATAAGATTTGTAACAGCTGCAAAATTATGCTATAATGCTGGTCTTGCAATTACAGTAAGCTAACTCAGTCATGCATCAGCATCATCTATAACAATATTTAATTTTGGTCTTGATGTGAGAAACGTGTTCACAAAGTTAATTAAAATCTGCACCTATTTTGAACACAAAAGGTTGGAACTGTCTATACGATGTTTCTTTAACCCTTTACAGTACATTTCATTTTCTTGTAAATTGTAGTAACCTTGTCCAAATTAATTTTCTTTCTACAAAACAATGTTTGAAACTACAGCTATTTTACAAAGTGAATGTATGGCACAACCAAAATAAGTTATCAGACTCAAAGGCATCTGATAAGGGAAGTATCTTTGGTCTACCACACATTTTCACATGAAAGTGTGTGTGTAAGAAGAACTAAGGGCCACCATGTGTAGTGGCAACAGCTGTTTACCTGCCACATCACACACCACTGGAAGTGTGAACAACAGAAAGATGTTCCCATATTAAATTCACTAGGTGTCTGTAGAGGGTATAAGCAAGACCTGACTATCATCAATGCACTTAGCAACCCACAGTTGTCAAGAACACACACTTTCATGTAAAATTGTGTGGTTGACCAAAGACACTTCTCTTTTGAGAACAGTTTCAGAGTTTTTACTGCACGGTTTCAGCAACAACTTTTTCCACTGGAAACTGGGTGAGCAAGAAAATTATTGTAGTTGGGTGGTATAACTGGTTGGAAAATGCAGTTCTTTGGTTTTCTGCCCCACAAAAACAGCTAATCTATGAGAATCACTTCCTTGTACTACAGCATTTCTATCTATTCTCAGCAGCATTACTATAAGGCCAATTACCAATACTGCAATCACCACCACAATCTCAATCATTATAAACTATTAACACTCCTATTTACATATTTCTATAACCAAATCATATAAATTTCATCTTATAAACCATTCAAACCCATGTGAATGGACTAGAATAAGTTCTCATTTTCTTCCATTCAGATTCAGAAACACAAAGTCATCTTTACAAAGCTGTCACTATTTTTGTAATCACCACCTAACAACTCAAAAATCTCAAATGTCACACAACACTCATATAATTCACCTATATAATTATCTCATCATTGCTTTCTATTTAATTTACTTTTCTAACTATACTGCCATCCAATCTTTATCATCATAACATGTGGCCATAACACAGCCCTACAACAGAAGGATCAGGCTCCTAGCCTGTAACTAAAGACAGAGATGAAGAATAAATGTACAACAACATACTGATTCAGACAATGTACACGATCAAAGAAAATACTCTCATAATAGCAACTGTCATGTTAAAATGGCATACCTTGATCATCAAGCTTGGCACATTCTGTGAACAGATCCTTGCTACCAGCGTTTATCCGATCACGATGAAAATAGTGTGACTGAAAAAACTTGGTCCAGAATTCTGATTCAGTCAGCTTATGAGGAACATATTCTAGATGTTTCTTCCTTACCGCTGGATATGTCTTGAAAATACACTCAATGATATCAGATGTAAGATTGTACTTAAGTCCATTACAACCATCTGTCTGAGGTTTGATGTCTGCCTACAATGACAATTAAAATCAGTTTAATAATTTAAACAAGCTATACTGATTAATCTGAGTTTAATACTAGCCACTTGTTTATTACAAGAAAACAAATGACCGAATTTTATCTAATAATTTGACACATATATAAAAATTCCACGTCTACATTATTTAAAAAGTCAGAAGTACAAAAATTTGCGTAATCCTATGTTATGCAGAATAATGTTAATTCCTGTAATATTTTCTTTGGCTCATTTATAGAAATCTTCTGGTAGCAGCTACATAAAAATCTTCATATCATGACAACATAAGTTCAAGATATTTCTACAGTTCTTATACTGTAAATATGCACTATCACTAAAACAATATCCTTCCTTAAATAAGACACATCAGAAACCAAGTTATAAATAATGCAACTTATGAAAGAGTGGACTTTAGTTGCTGTGTGCCAAAAAAGACAGTCACTAATTACACATATTTCTTCTTTAATGTTATTTTATGGTCCTGAGAGTAACAGTAAACTACAAAAGGGTGGAGAGAAACTTGATCACTTTCCCAGTGAAACTCTTGTATAACATTTTGACAAAAAATAATTGTCAAAGAAATCATGTAAAATAATAGTTTCAACATCTGGCAGAATAATTTTTTCCCCATCTTCAAACATGACTGCTGAGTAATGATGGGTTGTTGCTTTATTTGCTGTTTGGCAGAATTTTAAGCAAATTCTCCATCAGTGTTTGTTACAGATATAATTTTTGTATGACCATCATGAACCCATCATTAGGAGTAGAACTACGAACTTCCCTTTTCTACAAGGCACCCACACAATATAAGTAAATGAAACAACACTGTTGACAGTTATTCTCTGCTGACTCAATTCTATATTCTTACTGGTCTGCTATGCCTGGCAGTGTTGCCAGGACTCCTGAAGGATGAGCATTGTACTGGTGCATAATTTTAAATTTTAATTTCTTGGCACACTATTTATTTTTCTCCTAATACATTTTTCCATTTGGTAAAAGTTCAAGCTTTCTAACTGCAATCCCAATTTTAATTAAAAAAATACTGGCACAAAGGTAATAACTCCAAACTTATCACAGATATATGTATATGCGTTGCATCAACAGATTCCTTGAGTTAACTGCACAACCATCAATTTTTAACTAAATTTTGTTAGATTTACTCTATTTAACCTTTCCTGGCAACATGTCAGTTTATGCATGGTCCAGCTGCCCCCATAACACAGTGCTAAACCATTGAGCCTGGTGTTAAGACCACCTGGCAGCTCAGAGTATGAGGGTTTAAATCCCATACTTCCATGCAATAAAGATTGAAGAATGCATTTTTGCAACATAAAACATTTCTCAAATTCTATTTATTCTCTTAATTAAAAAAAGGTATGGCTACAAGAAGTCCTGAGGAGAATTTGTGATGTCAACTTTGCTTTACACATACCAATCTGTACATAATGAAAAGCAGAACTTAAAAATTAATAAAAGCTAGACATTTTTTAAAGGTTTATCACCATACAAAAGTTCAAACCCTGTACTGAATAAAATGCCTATACATCCACTTCGCAAGTTCCTGTGACAATCATAACTTCACATATCAGGACATAGCAGAACTATTCTGTCAGGAACAATTTTTTTCAGAACTAGAAAAATAAGCTAAAAACAGATCCAGCTATGTTACAAAAAGACTTAAACCATGTTAAAGAATAAATATGTGTCTTTATCAGTTGTTAATAAGACTTCATTAGTTGTGTTGAATTTGTACAATCCATCACCTCCACCGTCATTAAAACATTACTACCTCTCACTCTATGGTGCAGAAAATTCTTTGAAAAGTTGATTCCATATTTCTATGGTGAGGGGTTGTTAGCCACACATGTAACCCCCAAGCTGGAGGACCATCCCTTGTCGACTGTCCACAACTGCTTATTCAACATATTTGCAGCCACCCTCCATATTTGGTGGCCTTCTCCTCTATCAGCAACCTGGTGAATTGCCATGTCTTGGTGACAAGGGACCCACCTAACATGGCATTACTACCTCACCTTTTCTTAATTTTATCACAGTAAAATTTTTAACTTGTTCACCTGAATCTTATTATTCTGTCTGCTGAAAGACCAGTATGAATTTATTATTTTGATGTCCATCTGTCGCATTGTACATAAATTACTTACTGTCTTATATAGTCAGTCTGGTTTACATGGCTCATATACACAAACACACACATGGAGGAATGCAATGTTAAAGGTCACTTACTGGATATAATTTTGAAAATAACAACAATTAACCGCTCATAACTGCAACACAATTCTTATCACTGTAGTGTGTGAACAATACATGTTCGAAATTAATGAAGGATACAAAACACAGCTTTTCTTATAACACTGAAAAATGCAAATAATGGAAATAATCTGCATCTTACCAATTTGAAAAAAAATATTTCTGATATTTCTTGTAAATATAAAAAATATGTGCATGGCAGTAAACATATAGTTTTGGATGAAATAAAAATTATACAATTTTACTCTCATTATAGAAAGGCTGTTATTTCTGTACACTGTCTGTGTGTGTGTATTTTCACCCCCAGAAATACCACTTTCAAAGAAAGTTATGTGCACAGACATAATTAAAAAGTCTTTGTAAACATGGGTCCTTGGAAACTTCATTTTTTAACAATGGCATGCAATGAGAACTCTTAAAACCGTGTATTCTATGGAAGTTAACAATAAGTAGAACTGCAAAAGAGTGGAGAAAATAAGATGTGAGTTGTTTCTTAACATATGTGCATTTTTTGATCCCATGCAACAATCCTTAATCAGTGATTTGTAAATACACAGTTTCCTGTGAATGAGTTTTCACTTTACTTATCCTTCTCCCTTCAAAATAAAATGGGCCATAACTCAAACACAAAGCATCCAAGGACTCAAGTTTCAACAGACTTCATTTACTGTTTATGAGCACAGAACACATCCCTATACTGATGCTGGGTATTTCAGAAACACCCTATGTAAGTAATACCAGGACATCAAAACACACCAGAAAAGCCCCTGATACTCCAATATCTTGTTTTTGATTCTGCTGCTTTTGCATATACTGCATGGCATGTTGTGACCAAAATTCTTCAGATGATATCACATGTGTTATAACCAGATCACGATACAGCTGCAGAAGTGATGGATTCTGAGAGAGGAGTCTGAAAATTCATCATATCTCAATTAACATGTGTTTGTAAAGTAGGAAATGTAAAACACAGGACAGTATTATTCACTAAGAAAGAACCCAGAAATCACACAAATACAAGGTTGAATTTACAGTTGAGAGGACCCCAATGCAATCAAAATGTGGAAGCCCCATATCAGTAACAATATATTTATGCTATATTGCAATTACAAATAAATAATTAAGTATAAATAAGTATCACATATTCAATTTCTGGAAATGATTAAAATATTAGTGTCTTTATAGTCAGTTGTTACATTATACTGTGGGTCAATTTGATGAAAATGAAAATTAACAATTCACAGATCCTAAAATGACTAAAAATTATAAATATGTCTAAAAGTTTAAATGAATCTCTAATGCATACCTATTCTTCTCTTCAAGTTCCTTATTAACTTCACACTTAAATTTCTGTAGAAGTTGCTGCAGAAGTTCCTTAACATCATCACGGTCCTTCACCTGTGCTCCCTGCCCCAAGCGATTTACAAAATGAAATGTTGATGAAGTACCATCGTGAAGACAAACTTGAAGTTGGATTTTTGGTTTCCCTTCTGGTGATATCTTTTGTGCTAAAATATTTGATTATTCATAACAAAGGACTCTTTATAACTGCAATGGAATCATTACTTTAAAATGTTATATTTTTATGCAACTTTCATGATTTCATTACACTTTGTTTTTTTGTTCTACAATGTCCCCATAAGAAATCATCAATGAAGAGATACATACAAAATAACAACACAGAACTTAATAGTATTAACTCATGAAAACATTAGGTACACTAATCTTATTATGGACCATCAGGGCTTAAACAGAATCAAATACAGTTGCACAAGACATGCTTCAACCTACATGGACAGAAAGCAATTATTTGCACTTCATTTGAGCAATAAAAGGTACTTATAAGAAAACTGTTGGAAATATGTATAAAAGCTTCCATCCTTTTTGAATGTGTAACAGAAATCAAACTAACAATATGTTCACTATTTCATATGATATTAATTACTCTTTCATATTTTGACATTTTACAATGCATTAGGCTTGGTCAATGCAGTATGATGCAAAATCAGACTATTATTATGTAAGATCCTCATTATCAAGCCACAACTATATGGTGCAGGGATCCAAGTCTGATAATGCAATATACTTGCATCACAGTGAGGGGTTTTTAAGCCCTTGCCCAACCACAACCTGTCAGCAGCATGACACCAGCTCCTTATTCACCACTATTTATAGCACTAGTAAAGCATGTGGAGCCTAAAATAACAGCAATGATGTAGAAGGACTTTGAAATCATACAAGAGAAAATTTAGGCACACCCCAAATATTGCAGACTGAGGGTAGAAACTATGTAGGAGAGGAAATGAATTCAATCCTTATGCTGACTGATAAAGTGTGTGTACTCTGTTGGATAATATGTGATAATTAACAGCTCAAGCTCCGAATATCTTGCTGCATCTAATATTCACTGCCTTAGTGGATTCAATTACCGTAACAGCAAATTTGTGTATAAACTGCTACAATTAAATAGTAACTTCCAAAATTCAATAAAACAATATAATAAACAATAAGTAGTATACGTTTCTGCGGTGGAAACATTAACTCCTTTAGTTGTTCCCAATTATGTATGTTGTACATTATTTCCATTACCTTATGGTCTGACAAGACTATGATTTCTCTGTTTACAATGGTTTCATAGCCAATGGAAACAGTATATTTACAAAAATTAAGATTTTTCAGTTCCGATTAGAACCAAATTTTGAGGTCAATGTCCAAAGGATTAAATCAAAATTATGTTCCAACTAAAACATGTGAAGAAAAAAAAACATGATCTACTGCACACTACAGCAAAAAAATTAAGTGATACACATAAAAAAATAAACCTGTCCTGCTATATGCCATGCAGGAACTTAGGGGGAGAGGAGGTATAGCTCCTACTCATTAACCTCAGCATTAGATTGGGGTGAGTGATCAGCATTACACCTAGGCTGCACTTTACCCCTGGGAAAAGAACCCCCAGTACTTATTGGACAGGAGGCTGGGTGGGCCTGAGTGCTAGTCTAAACGCAGAAGCTAGAAGCAAAATCCTCTGCCTGTGTCAGGACCAAACCCAAGTCGTACAGTCCATAGACAGTCACTATACTGACTGAGTTACCTTGGTTCCCGTCTGGTACACATACAGTAAAAGTAAAGTAAAGTGTGTCCCACTATATGCCATGTAGGCATTTGGGGTGAGTGGAGGTATACCTCCTCTCTTTATTGACCTCGGCACTAGATGGGGGTGCCGGCTTTACCCCCAGGAAAGGACCCCGGTACCCATTGTAGAGGAGGCAGGGTGGGCCCCAGAGCCAGTCTGGACGCAGAGGCTAGAGGAAAAATCCTCTGCCCCCGTCGGGGATCGAACCCCGGTGGTCCAGCCCATAGCTAGTCACTATACTGACTGAGCTATCCCAGCTCATGGTACACATACAGTACACAATCCATATTTTAAATAAAAATCAAGACTTTGGTACATGGTACGATATATGCATTTTGTATAATATGAATACATAAAATTTCAAAAGGTGTTCTTTACACAACACAATGTTTAATGCTACCCCCTTAAATGTACTGCATCCTGTACTTTATGAGACAAGTTGAAGTATCTTAAGGATGGGAAGAACATGACCCTTTTATTAAATTTGCAATAACACAGGTGCAACCTAATCTAACGTTCAGGTTACATTACTGAAGACTGTCATTGTATGCAATGACCTCTCTATCAAAAAAATTACTTGTAATTCTGCTTCTTCTGATTTTAATGCCCCCTCTTCAGTCTCATTTTTATAAGTCATGCTGTCATGGGTATATGGGCTGTCCAAATGTAACATGCTTCATGATGGTAACATGATTTATCATGAACTTCAGACGGTCATTATACCAATGCATCAGAGTATATATCATCTGCAGATATACTGCTTTTCTTTGACTGTTCAACTTTCACTTCTTTTAGGAAAGAACCCTCAGAGATCAAGTTTTTGAACACAGTGTTTATTTGCACTGGGGTCAAACTTCTTACAAATTGCAAATAATGCTACGTATCCGTTTTTTATTAATATATTTTTCTAACTTTACGTTCCATAATGCTGGGTGTTGATATCATACCTTAATGAAATCAAGGTCCATAAATGTCCCTAAATGGCCTAATACTAAGTTTAACTTCTCAAGAAAGATTCTGCTCCATGAAGAGTTAATACACAACAGAGCAGATCAATCTAATAATTCTCACACAAGAGAAAATAAATTGTATCTTTGAAAAAGTAGGGTACACCTTTACAATGCAGACCACTTACTGATGATTCTTCTGTTTTGAAGCAGTTACTGACACATCTGTAACTGTACCAGCTAGTGAAAACACACACACATATATATGTGGTCATATTGCAAGCTTCTGCAAACATAGTAATGAACCTTGCAGTTCCAGAAAAGGCTGGAAATTTCTTGATTGCCTGGGTAACAATCAGCTCCTTAAGGACTGATCTATATCCTTAGCTATTAGTTATTACTCATACTTTCATATTTCTCCAATAGGTTCAAATTTTGTACATTCAAAAGCATCTTTCTGCATATCCACATCCTCCTACACATTCCCAATTTTCATTCAGCCACTAATGTGCTCCCCTGTCACTACACGCATTGCAACCTACCACATCCACTTCTCACGACAGTTAGACAGGCTACAAACATGCTTTCTGAAAGCCAAAGATCGACTTTACCAAACACCTGCAGAAGCAAAAACTATTTTAAAACCATTACAACAGCACTGTGTTACAAGCTTGTGAAACACGTGTCATATGGTGATAGCAGTAATTATTTCCAATTTCTTCCTCCTTGTATTTCTATTCTCAGCACTGTTCAACTTCATGTGCCACATTATAACTCTGAATTACATCAAATGGGACTGGAAACAGTTGAAACATATTAATAAAACAGTAACACTATTTTCTACAATTGAGTTTGGAGTTAGCATAGGGACAGTGCTGAGGGAGGGGGCGCTATTGTATTATGAGATAGAAAATAAGGTGTAAGAGAGAGAAACAAATCTGTTTTTCATGTTTCCTTAATTTGCTGTATTGTTGTTTGTGCCAGTTCTAGTGAAAACCCACAAACAGTCACATGTTTACTGGTGCATGCTGACAAGGTTCAAGTTGCTATATTGAAAAGTTGTCCTATATCATATTTAGCATATCTTAATGTTCCCATAACCTCATTACATATATATTTGACACGAGAATGTACAAAACATTATGCCTATACATACTTCAACTTCAAAGTCTGACAGCCTGAGATTATTCCTGGTGATGAAAATCACCTGCCTGCAATCTGTGCTTCAAAAACAACCTGTCAATACTTTCAGTTTGAGGAACACATGATTAAAAATAACTTTATTTATGGACTAGTAAAAGCACAAGGAACATGAATGCCAACTTACTTTTAATATCAGTGTATCTATGACTCACAGAGACAGTATCCCTATGATCCATCATCCAAGCCAGGCGCTCATTCATCACATACAATGTCCCATCTCCCTTCTTGTAGCGAACTTGTCCCACCTGTAGCAGCACATCTTCTGAAGATGTAGTCATGGTGGTTTCCAAGTATCCCAAAAACTCAATATTGCAGCAATACCATCATTAAGAAAACCTGCTGATGTAATTTGTAGAAATGTAATTTGTAGAAATGTAATTTCACACTAGCCAACAGTTAATGCATGGCATGAATATTATACCTCTTATAGTCAAATTCAAGGTTCAAATATTAAACAAACAATACACTACAATTATCATTAATGTAAACTTCGCCGCATGTCCTTGACGGTATGGCGACATAAACCAGTGAACAGCACACATATAATCATACTTCCGCAAAACATTTCTCAAAATCGTAAAGATATAAACGAAGTGAATTAAAATCTATAGAACCGCAGCCTCACAAAGTCTCCTACCTAACTAATAATTCCGCATTACATATTTTAGCATACACAAAATGGCAAGAACACTTTACTTCCTCTCCGAGTAAATGGTTACATCACTAAAATATAATTTCTTGATTACAGTTTCTTGCATACAATTTATTTATTCATGCATTCTCTTAAGCTTATTATGCGGCTTAAACAATATACTTCTAGTAAGAGAAGAAGTTTACCAGGGCAAATCCTTAATTTCCTGCAGAACGATCCACAACACCTACTACACCAATGGGAGCCATGTGTGACATACATAACGCAGCGGTACATCCCAATCGACCAAGAGCCTGCACTGGAATACCGCACAAACAGAGACCCAACTGGCCAGACTCAACCGAGTCCATCTCCGCCCCTGCTGAATTGCCATAACACATGATCGATACTCCCACAGAATGAATGTACAATCAATGTAACTTGTGATTACGGAACATAGGATGCGGTATGTTTTTTAAACAAATTAAAATTAAATATTAACAAATATTTTAGTAATTAAAAATACAAATCACAAACTATTAAAACAGATCATCACCGATTATTCTGAGTGAGGATGAAAAATTAGAGACTAAGTATTAAAAAAAGAAAGGAAGCTCAGTACCTCTCTATAAAAGTAGTGACAATACACACCACAAATAAAACATTTACTGAATTAATACGAATACCTTGCGAGTTAAAATGTACAGACCTCAAGTTAAGATCTAAGGAAAAGCCACTCTCAAATTCACAAACTGTATAATGAAGTCTGTGATTCAGCTATTTTGAAAGGTATCGGCACATTAATAAAGACATTTAGCACTAGCAAGACAATTCCTCACATCATCTGTCAAATTAGCAGTGATCTCAGTCTTTTACGAGATCATGAAGAAATACAAAACCATTACAATTGAGGATGAAGGGTAGCTACAAAAGTACCGACGAAAAGAGTGGCATAACTTTCAGCTTTCATGTTATTTGCAATTTTTTTCAGTTCTCCTTCTTTTATATTTAATGAACTTAAGTTTCCATACGTATAAGTAAATGATTAAACGGTCCCATGACTGTTTACCTACAACCGTTTCACCTACACTGGCTTCATTTACGTCAACCTGCCTACTTGTGTTAACACTTACGATTCATTTCACCTGCTTCATTCGGTGATTAGATTTTAATCTACTCCAGTCCACAGGTGTATTGGTTTTCACCGGCCAGATGGAAAACACAGGCAAGGGTACAGATTAAGTGATAAGATAATTAAAAATAGAGTTTCATAAAAATGAGAGATTCCTTTCCTAATTATTCAGCAGGGCGAATTGCATTACTTTGAAACGATTTGCATGCAGAACCAAAATATGGCTACGTCTTTTCTTGACTAATGTAGCAATTCAAGACATCTATGTGATTTATTACCGGACGCTGACATGATGGAATCCATTTGACTTAACAAAGGCAACGGAACAACGAAAAATTCAAGCACAGCACGATGCCGACAGAGGAATGTGGGCGGGAGGAGGAGAATAAGGGTATTCTTTCTTAAATTCTACGATGGCGTGTGAAAATGATTGGAACTCCGGTTTAGTCTTCCATAAGTTTGGGCAGCGTACGTAGTTCGGAGACTTCATTCCTTCACTAAATTACTTTTCTGTTCAGAATGATAAACCCAAGCAGAGTTTAAATTGTGTCCAGTGAAATGACCGACAGGTAGGTCTACGAGCCAATTAATTTCATGCATCATGTTTACAGAAGTGCCTTGAATTGAATGGTGTATTACTTCCGAGAGAAAGGACATGACAACAAGAGAGTTCAATTGTTGAAACGCTTTTAACAGCATTAATTTCGAGCTTCCGCATTTGTAGGCTTCATACAGGCAAACCTGGCTTGAAGGGAAACCAGTACATGTCTGTGATCTGGAAAATATGAAGTAGAAATTCAAATAAACGTTGTGGCCGAGTGGCTCTGTGTTCAAATCTCAGACCAGAGACCGGCTATTCAGTCCCTTTTGTTAAACGCTGGAATGTACCTTAAATTAATTACGCCCTTTCCAATGCATCAATCATTCCTTAATTTGATGCTATAGACTGTGGTTTGAGCTTCTGACAAATAACAATCTAATGAAAACTAAGTTATTTATACCTTTAACCAACGGAATTAAACACGGAACAAGCCGGAACACTGGAATTTACCATGGAATAATTTTGAATTTTCTCTTTTCTATTCTTATAGTTTTGTTTTGTATGGTGTATGCTACAACAAATGTGCCTGACTATCAACAAATATGAGCAGAAAGACAACTGGAATAAAACTGATAATTTATATTACTCAGTAATAGTGCAGCAACCACACGTAGCAATAATTTCTTGTGATGTGGATCATGAATACAGAAGTACAGACCGTGTACGCCTACTATGAAATATGAATCTAGAAGAACCTTTATTAAATAGAAACTTGCTAGAAAGAAAAATATTTGTATTTCTTGGGACTCCGTTATGGTCAGATTGTGCTGTACATTGATGAGTCCCCGCCTTTCTGAAGATTTGGGGCTGAGGTCATCCAAGAATTAGATGCTGCTGCATTGTGACTTTTATGTTTAATAAAGTATATTTACAACCTGCAGGTTATTGATACCTTTTGAAAGTCTTCCTCAATTTTGTTATACTGTGATTATTCTTATGCGAATAGTGTTTGCCCAGGAGATTAATTTAAATTAATTCACACTTGCTACCAAACAAAACGTTTAAAGCAATTTTAGGCCATTCATATCGCAAAGCCCTAAGCTGCAGCTTAGTAACTCTGACACTGGTTCCTATTCACAAACTTATTCAATATTAAGTGTGTGTACGCAACATTTATCTAGTCTCTAATAGTCTCACCAGCGCCTGCTCCACAGAGTATGTACGGGGGAAGGCAGCGCTACTGCTGTTACGCGAGAGGTGGTGTGAATTTGAACTGTACATCCCATCTGTGGGCAATTTTTTTTTGAACACTTGCACTTTTATCGCATCGGCAGCTTAAATTTCATTAAGTCATTCCGCGATTGGCTTTGTAAACGAGCAAAATTTCAGGTGAGGTTTCGACCTGACAAGGGATATTCGTATGAAGAAATGTAGCTACACATTGCAGATTTACACACGCACTTAACCACAGTTACATTATCCTCTCATTGAACAAGAAACACCCATCTTCAGCAGTTTCACTTGCAACCAAAATTAATATTGTTCTTGCAATATTTACTTCTAATAAAGTTCTACACATTCAAGACAATTCGTTTACTGGTTCACTTATGCATTTTCTAGCAGTGTGAATATTATATCAGTGCAATCAAAATGACAAAGTGCAACCAGGTGTCTCACACTGTAGCATCCCATTTATATACATTTTCTCAAGTACAGTCCTTGTAATTTTTCCCCATTGGCCTTGGCTGATACAATTAACATTATTTATTTTATTCAAAAATAATTAAATAAGGCCTTTGTAAGATTTGAGGTTTTCACAGTGGTGAGTATGAAGATTTCTGTCTTCTGGGTTGTTGCGACGTGTAGTCTGGTCAATGTTAACCAACGTTTCAGAGGTCATACTGCCTCCATTATCAGGGCGATGAATGAGACAATTGAGTGGAGGGGGCTAGGTTTATAGGGGCCTTTGTTTCACCACCTTTCTTGATGTTCTACCATCAATCTTCAAATGAAACATCAACATCTGACGTGGCTCCCTGAGTTACACATAATTTCAAGTAATTCAATCTGACAACAAAACATTTTAAGTTCTACAAAATTTTATAAGTAAAGCTTATAACATGTGTGAAAGTTGTGTTTGTGAATATGGTACATGCACTTTCCTGCTGTTCTGTTATTTCTAATGAAATACCACTAAGAGGTGATTCATGTTACTTATTCATGTTACAGATACTGAATTATACCTGAAGATGAAACACTTGTCATTCACTTCTTTTGTATGACAAGTTCTACTTTCTTCTGTCATATCAAAATTCCTATCCATTGTTCTAGTTTTATCCACATCATAAGTTCAGAAGTTACTATTAACTCACAGTCTATCATTTCTTAATGTATTTTTAATGATTATACATCACAATTCTTCTGACATTATTTTCAAGTTCTGCAGCACCTTCACAATCATTACAACAGTCAACTGTTTCTATGTTTGGCTGAGTATCCTTGCTAACTTGGGGTGACCTGTGATTACACTGGAGATTGTGTTTATCAACAAAACCAGGAATTTTCAGTTGACCATAGGAGCTTAGTAACTGGTGAAAGAGAAGTGGATTGAATACATTCTCTAGTTCAAGTTCTCTAGCAGATGTTTCCATCAAGTAATCAGTCATTTCATCAAAACCATCTGTATCCTCAACCTCTGATCTAATTTCAGCAGGTAATAACCCTGTTTCATTCAATTTAGTTTTAGAAACACCTTTATTCCAGTTCTCACCAAGTTGATATCCACGAATTTTACTGCCGACAGGGTCAGAAGGATAACAGACATTTGCCAGTGAGCCTCTATGATTCACTGATGCCTTTCTTACTATATCATTTTCACTCTCTTTTCCTACGTAGCACTGAATGTTTGTTACATTATTCTGTGGCAATGAATGCATACTGGTGCCTGAAAAGTTTGCAGAATTATTCACTTGTAATGGGCACACAATGCTAGTTTGAAAATTTTTACATTTACAAGAAAAATTTCTGGGTATCTGATGATTTTCTTCTGCATTCTTCAAACAAAACATTTCCATGTCATTTGTGTGTGTTGAAAACTCTGAATAACCCAATGTAACATGTCTCGGAGACTCATCTATAGTAACTTTAAAGTATGGATTTTCTTTATTTGTTCCTTTATTCACAAATGATGCAATTTCACTTTCTGAATTCTTCCTCTCATTTGTACTTGTTACAGTTTGACTGGCTGCTTGAGAGCTTAAGGAATTTTCATTTCCTTGTATCCAAGGAAAGAATGGTGGAATGAAATCTTCGTTTGTTACAAAATGTAACCTCTTCTTTAATCTCTGTGTAATTTCATCCAATTCGGAAAGCTTTTGTCTGGAAGGAGAAGCACAGAAGTTAAATTAGTGCTGAACAATTCAGTACACTCTATACTGCTAAAACAACACACACACATACGTAACAAATTTAAATAATAAAATAAAATTTCCTTACACAGAGCAAAGTTCTGGGTATGAAAATTTAATTGGATTCTGGCTCCTGTCATTAACTATATTCAAATTAAAATAAACAAATTCAAAATTTTGTGACTGCATGTATCTATTCTTGTAAACTATGAACCTTGTAATTTATCTTCTTTGTATGTAGGAATCAGCCTGAAATATACAGGATGATTCAAAAAGGACTTTACAAATTTGAAAGTGTATAGAAATTTATTCAGAAGGCTTACATAATCGGTTGAGGTGTCATTTTGTAGCAAAACAAATCAAGTTTTACCTCAAACAGTCACTTTGGTTCGATGTGATTGCCATTGGTGATACTGCAGACATCCCACCTGAAATCAATTTCTTGCCAAACACGATCCAGCATATCCGGTGTCACTTCTGCAACTGCGGCGGTGATTCAAGCTTTGAGCTCAGTGAGATTGGCAGGTAAGGGTGGAACATACACACGATCTTTAATGAAACCCCATAAGAAAAATTGAGAGGTGTCAAATCTGGAGAACGAGGTGGCCATGCTATTGACCCTGTTCGACCAATCCATCGACTTGGGAAACGGTTATTGAAGAAATCCCGCACTTCTGTGAGGTGGTGCGCCGTCTTGCTGGAAGTGAATGCGTCCTTTTTGGTCATCTTCGTCTAACTGTGGTATGAGAAAATTTTCC